CAGGCTGGTCTCAAACTCCTGAGCACGAGGGGTCCTCCGGCCTCATCTTCCTAAACAGTTGGGGTTACAAGCTTGAGACACCACACCTGGCTAATATTCCTTTTTGAATGCACATGGTTGTGATAAAAAATATAAAACAAAAGCAAAGAAATGTTAATCACAGACTCTGGATAGCAGTCACCTCAGATGTTAGAAGGCAGGAAGACAAAATGGAGGAAAACTAGGTGTATGGATGCAAGTTATTGTTTGTTTTCTAGTTTTCTTGCTTTGTAGTTGTGTGGTTTGGAATATATTAAGTAGAAGGCTCAGCTATACCTCTAACTAGAAATTCTTAGCAGGCAGTTGCAAATGTACTTCTGGAATAAGGATAAATTCATTAATTTCTCAAACCATTTTCTCCTGTTATATACTGTTGGTGGGAGTGCAAATTATTAATAGTTCAACCATTGTGGGAAGCTGTGTGGCAATTCCTCAAAGAGCTAAAAACAGAACTACCATTTAACTCAGCAATTCCACTGCTGGGTATATTCCCAGGGGAATATAAATTATTCTATCATAAAAACGTATGCCTATGAATGTTCATTGCAGCACTCTTCACAGTAGCAAAGACATGGAATCAGCCTAAATGCCCATCATTGACAGATTGGATAAAGAAAATGTGGTGCATACACACCATGGAATTCTATGCAGCCATAAAAAAAGAACAAGATCATGTCTTTTGTGGGAACGTGGCTGGAGCTAGAGGCTGTTATCTTTAGCAAACTAACGTGGGAACAAAAAACCAAATACCACATGTTCTCAGTTACAAGTGGGAACTAAATTATGAGAACTCATGGATACAAAGAGGGGAACAACAGACACTGGGACCTACTTGAGGGTGGAGGATGGGAGGAGGGAGAGGACCAGAAAAAAAAGTAACTTGGATATTAGGCTTAGTAACTAGGTTACAAAATAATCTGTACAACAAACCCTTGTGACACGAATTTACCTATATAAAAAACCTGCTCATGTACTCCTAAACCTAAAAAATGTTTTAAAAAAATTTTTTAAATTAAAAACCAACAACATTTTATCCCAAACTATAAACTACTATTTTGTAAATAGTCCCTGTGAATATTTAAATTGTTTCAGATCTTTTCTATTATATTAGTAGTGCAACAGATGTTCTTGTAAATATGTGTTTGCATACTGTGTCAGTTTACATAAGCTAAATTTTTAACAGTGGAATTACTGGTCAGAGAGAAGATGCAATTTACATTTTGATCAATTATTGCTAATTTATCTTCTCATAAAAAGCAAGTGAGAGTGATTGTTCCCCCCACCCTCACCAACACAGGGAATATCAAACTTAAATTTTTCTCCATCTATTAGGTGAAAATTGGCACCACATTGTTTTGACTTGGATTTTATTTTGTGAAGTTGGCCATTCTTTTACATGTTTTTAAATAAAGTGTTCCATTTTTCTATTGAAAAAATTTACTCCTAGGAACATTACAAAATAAAGTGTTCTAGCTCTTTGCAAAAATAGAGAATGATGACTATATGCTAAAGATCCAGAATGTTTCCTTTAGCTTTGTTGATTTGGATTCATACCATCTCACCCCAGCTCATCATGTCATTCATTCATTTATTTTAAAGTACTTACTAAATACCTATTGTTCACAGAGCACTGATAGACACTGTCCTTTAAAAGGCGATATTTTTTTAGATTAGGAAAAGTGATTGGGTCTCCAATATGGGGCCTGTCTACTAAGGGATTAAATTCAAATCTTAGTATTTAAGCAGTTCTTCTCTTCCATGCATTTCATTTTTCTAGTTGTTCAATGTTAAATTAATACTCTCAGCTATCTGTTGGTTAAGCAAGTGGAAATTTATTTATCCAAAAGGCTGGATCTCTGCTTGTGATAGCTTCAGATTATCAAACTATTGCTGCTGCTTTCTTGCCATTTGCTACTTTGCAATTGATGAGTTCAGTATTTGACCACCTAGAAGTAGCCAGTAAAAGGAGTTCAGAGGTTAGTGTTCTGATGGTGAGGTGATGTATACGTCTACAGTTCTACCCCAGTTTTGGTTGGTTGGTTGCTTGCTTCATTCGTAATTTCTGTTGAAAGAAGGCTCATGATACATTCCTGTGGGCCACTTATTATTGGTTAGTCCAAGTATCTGATACAATTTATCTTTCAACTGCTAGCAAGCAAGAAGTAGGTGGTGTAGTAAGTTATCAGATGAACTTTAGACAACAGGGAAAGCCTGGACTCTATACCACCCAGTCCAGGCTTGATATCTCAAGAAAGTATGGGAGGCAAAGGGCTAAAAATTTAGGATAATACTCTTATTCTAGATCTTTTGCTTTTCTCCACAATCTCTATAGAATGATAAATAGGGTCATTTCTTCAGGTACTAAAACACTGTCCTTTAGACATGTAGAATATCAGCTACCAAGCTCTTGGGTGTATATGTATGTGAACCAGGCATTTGAAAGATTGTTAGAGATGCAGATTCAAAATAATGTAGGCAATCCGTGCTTTGTACAGTACTGTAGGACAGTAAAATGGCAGAGCAGGTTGAAACTGTGAAAAAACGATCTCAGTGATCAATGTGAAAAGTTATGATTGTTACATGCCTTTTACATTTTTGCCAAAATGTTAATAACTCTCTGATGGTTATAAATATATAGGGAAATGGGACAAAAGTAATGCTGATATTCATTTAGTACACTGTAATTTAGAATGTCAGAAATACTGAGAATTAAAGTATCTTTTAAAATAAAATACTTATTAAGATTCATTTAAATAGTGCTTACCTTCTTCTTACCATATAACTTACAAGACAGAGGGAACATCATTTTTATGCCTTGGCAAATACTCTTTTGAATGGTGGTAGTGTCAGCATTCCGAGTCAGCTTTTTTCTTTTATTATTCCATTCATATTTTATTCAGTTTTCACTTTGAGCATTATCACTTTTATTTTCTTTGCTCTGCTGTCATCTTTGTTGGCTAATTCCCTGGGAGACAAGGAGGCAACACAACTACACACTTTGCTGTCTATGTGTAAACTGAATAGTGGATGCCCAATGTCTAATCACCAACAGCCTTTGAGAGAAGTGACAAAGTTGGTCACTGATCATGATATGTGTTTGCTTTGTGACTGAAGAGGTACCAGTGCAGTTTGAACTTTATGCAGTTCTCGTTCATATACCATGTTGACTGAAACGTAAACTCTACTCTTGGGGTACTAATGCTGTTTAAGCATTAGTAATAAGTCCTGATATGCCTGAAATGCAGGCATATCAGGACTGTGCAGAGCAAGAACTGCCTAAATAAATGGGCTGTCACATCATATTGGTTGCGTATGAGCTCGATAGTAATTATAATTTTGTTGTACGTGATGGTTTTACAATGAGCTCACTCTTTAAGGCTGGCTTCTTAGAGGTGATCTACAGAATGTAAGTGTTTGCTTTGCTATCTATATCAAGGTAAACTAGATTATGCTGTGATAACAAATGACACCCAAATCTCAGTGGTCGTAGTACCTTCCATGGCCAGTTGGCTAGGAGGAGAGGAGGATGTTCTGTTTCACTTTGTCCTTACTCAGGAACCCAGGCTGAGGCAGACTTCTCTGTGCTTCTGTAATGATCAGTGCAGGAATTGGAAACATGATGAATTGCCTACTATCTCTTAAAGTTTTCACCCAGAAGTGATACATACCATTTCTAATCATGAATCACTGGCCAAAGTAAGGCACATGGTCATGTCCCAGTGTGGGTAGAGAAGTGAAATTCTACCATGAGCCTGGAAGGAAGAAATGTTGGGCAAGTAGCATTAGTGATGACCACAGTTTCCAAAGACTTAACCTAGGGAGGGCTTGCAGGGAGGAGCCACCGAGGACTGGGATTGCAGATGAACAAGTACAGAACCAGTGTAAGGTGTAATGGGATGCTATGAACGTGGTAGATAGGAGTACTGAGCTTCTTAAAACAAGGGGACAGAACCACAGAGAATTAATTGCATAGTGATCCTTATTTAGTTATTAGCCTTCCATCTTTAGTGTTTGTCTCTGTCTTTAATCACAAATACGTTAAACTCAACAAGTCCTCAACAGTGTATTCCAATGGGTACTCTTCAGTACCCTGCCTCATAGTTTTCTGTGTCATGGAGGCTAAACATTTCAATACATCCACATACCAGAGTCATTTAGAATCACTTCATAGCTGTGTCCATACCTGAACTTCTCATTTTAATCTAAGTGTGATTCAAATTTTTTGTCTAAATTTTCTCTAACAATCTGAGGTAAGAACAAAAATATTTAAGACACACCTAATCAAGCAGGGGCCATTTGAGCTTGCATCATTATTTCTTGTCACATTAAATGGGATATTATATTTGGGAAAATACAGTTAATATAAAATGGTCAGTTTTGGTATGGTATAGTCATATGCTGAGATAAGAACACTGTACCAAGTCAGTTATAATCCAGTGACCACGTTATATTTAAATCTTGCAGATAGGTAAGAGATTTCAAATTAAATATCTATATTCTTAGATATAGTGCTTGACTAATTGACTAAATTTAGATTTTTTTGCCTAGATATTTTGATGTTGTAGAGACTTATCCTTAGCACTGGAACCACTGGCCTTTGGACACCTTTAGTTCTTTCAGCCTCCCTCTCAGTTTTCTAAGAACAGTGCTATGGGGGAGTTTTGGATTCCAGGAAATTGCCCTGTGTGGTGTTCTTTGCACAAGCTGCATTGTTCTTTCAAGCCTGAGTATTTCCCCTCTCAACTTGGACCTATTACAAGTGATATCATGCAAGGGATGTGAGCCATGTCAGTACAGGGAGTGTACTCCTGTGGTCATCAGAAGTTTTCATATTTATTTAGCATTATAATCTTTTCCATGTGACTGTTACTGAATTTGGGAGACTATCTCGCTAAATGATGTAGGTATCGTCTCAATTATTTAAGCTCTTTATAACACCAAACATTCATTGTTAATATTAGGGCAATACACTTTCTTTGGTGAGACCAACCAATGTATTAGAGATGATGAAAGAATGGAAAAATAACCCGGAAAGTGATGAGGAAAACACAACAAAAGAGAAGAATAATCCGTCCACTAAAAAAAAGTTGAAAAGTTACCAACGCTGGGGAAATGTTCGTGATGCCAATTATATTTCAGATGAAGAGGAGGAAAAACAGGTAGGAAAAAATCATTGCTGCATTTTCTCCAAAGTGTAAAATACCCTCACCACACCTGGAACATTTTTTTGCAAATCTGTCTTTTTCTTGTTAGTTTGTAAACAAAGACCCAGGATTATACAGCAAGTAATTTCTGCCTTATAGGCTAGCACGATTTAGCAGTATGGCCTACATGCTTATTTTAAGATTGGTGATTATGTAGGGCAGGGGTCTGCCAACTTTTTCTATATGGAAACAGAGTAAATATTTTAGGCTTTGTGGGCCATAGTAGTCTGCGTCACAACGACTCGTCTCTGACATTGTAGTGTGAAAACAGCCCAGACAACAAATGAATGAATGTGGACATGTTCCAACTCAACTATTTTTTTCTCCCCAAAAACAGATGGCATGCCAAATTTGGCCCATGGATCAAAATTAATAATTTTTGTACTTTACCAGACTATAAAATTGGGAATGGCTCTATGTATTACTTAGAAAATGATAATTATTATATTATTCAGTTATTTTTGTCTGAATTTATGGTAACCAAAACTTTTTATATAGGTTTATTATTTTACCTTTTTACTTCTGAATACAGTTTTATTCTATTTAATGAGTAGAATGGAGTAACACTTTTATTAGTTCTAGATTGTGGTCTATTAACTGGATATCCTGACAAAGTTTACCCAGAGCTCCCCTTCCTTGCTTTCTTTTTTTGTTTCTGCGTTTGCAGAAAATTTTTCTGTATGTGTTTGTTCTCCTTCTTGTCTTGAAATCTAATTAACATACATTAGCTATTATTTAATAAATGAGCATCCTGCCAGCGGGGACTGTGTTCACCTCGGGGCAGCCAGACTTCTCGTGAGGAGTTGCTGGTTTCTGATTCTGAGATGCCTAGAATTAGGCGGAGTGGGGAGAGGGACTGCCAGGGTAAACCCTGGACCAGGGAGGTGCAGTGTTGCTGGCCCACACGCCTCCATGCCAAGAATCCTCTCAGTAACTTACAGAAAGGGACATGGTAGCATGCTCTATTCACTGATTTTGATTTAGTGGTTGAGAATTCTTCATTACTTTATAGCAAATGTTTAGATAATAATAAGGATAACATGACGATTCAGGTATTTTGAGATTATAATATTTTTACTATAAATTGTTAACATAAGTTAACATACTAGAGAAGAAAAAGATAATTCAAGCTCATTGAATTCTCTTTTTCCTCTCTAGCATGTTAACAACTCCTGTGATGCTTAGTTCTTAAAAATAATATCATAACATGAGCTAAAATAATAAATATTTTATTTTAAAAATAAAATATTGTATTTATTTTAAATAAATAAAAATAATATCATAAAATAATATCCTTAAAAATAATATCATAAAATTCAATGTTTGCATTTCTTATTGAACATAGTTGGAAGATTTTTGTTGGCTGACTTGGCATTTTATGCACATATACATACATATGCACACACATACACATATACACATATACACATATACTCACATATTCTTATACATACATCTACAAATACTCACATCTGTACAGCTATACACACATGTTTTGTGGCCTTGAGTTCTATTTGTCACTGAATTGAACATAAAATATGCTTGTGAACCAGATGTCTTTTGTCTCCTTTTCCATCTCCATGTCACACCTTTCCCCTCTCACTCTCCAGCCGCCCCTGCAAGTCACAAATAAATGGAAGTTGCTATGTGGTTCTCAGCTACATCAACTAGGGAACAGAAGAATTGGAATTTGAATTGTTTGTGGATACTAGAACTATGCCAGTGGGTTGACATTTTAAGAATATAGGAATTGTAAGAATATTGGTTGGTATTTTAGGAATGTAGGTTTCATCAACAGGAAGAATTTTTCCGTAGTCAGAGTTCACCAGCAGTGAAAAAGGCTGGACCGTGGGTAACAAGCCCTCCACCTCCCCATCATTGGAAGTATTCAAGCAGACTCTGGAAGGTTACTTGTTACAAATGCCATAACAGGAATTATTGCAAGGTGGGTAGGAGCTTTGCTCTCCCTTAACGTTCTCTAAGGAACTTTCCCATGCTTAGGTTTGGGAATTTCTCAAAAGCCAGAGTAATCATACCTTTCAAAACAGTGGCAGAGCTCTTAGAAAACTGGTAGAGAGTAAGTGAGGATGTGTTAAAAACAAAAGCACTTGAACTCAGCACCTTTCTCCTTCTCTTAAGTCATAGTCCTTTAGTTCCAAATGCTTTGGACATGATGGAAACATGCAGTCTGCATCTCCTCATTGTTCATATTTGGACTAAGGTATCACATGACACTTGTTTCAAATTTGCTTTCAATAGTTGGCATTTGGCAACGTCCTTTTGTTCATTTCTACCTTTGCTTGGTTATGGTATTCTGAGGACAGTAATGTTCTCTCATGTATATCTTGTTTCTCACATGCTGAGGACATCTAGAGAATGTTTTGTGCTGTTGGTAATCCTCTGAATTCCCTAAGACAAAGTCGTTATCTGCTTTACTGGATAGACTCGACCTTTACTCCTGCAATAGCATTTGCTCGTCTTCCAGTGAGACACCCGGCAGATCGGTGCTTATTGCAGTAGTGCGCCTTTTTATACTGGGTCCTTAATGATTCCTGATAAATGGTATCATGCTTTCATTATTCATAAGCTGAGAAAACAATTGGAGAGAAATGAATGTCTATAATTAAAGTATACCTCCCCATAACCATAGAGGACGGGACTGAAACCTCCATATGCAATAAAAGTATATTTCATTATGGAATTCTTACTTCATAATGGAGAATCCTCTTAGTCATAAAATTGTTTATTTAACACAATGAATTTGTTTAATGAAAATAGAAGATTTTGGGGCCAGGCACAGTGGCTCACGGCTGTAATCCCAGCACTTTGGGAGGCCCAGTGGGTGGATCACCTGAGGACAAGATTCGAGACTGGACAACATGGCAAAACCATGTCTCTACTAAAAATACAAAAATTAGCTGGGCATGGTCACACACTGTAATCCCAACTACTTGGGAGGCTGACACAGGAGAATCACTTGAACCTAGGAGGAGGAGGTTGCAGTGAGCAGAGATCACACTACTGCACTACAGCCTGGGGGACAGAGTAAGACACTATCTCAAAAAAGCAAAAAAAAAAAAAAAAATAGAGAAAATAGAAGATTTTTGTTATTATTTTCTTTTGTGATCATTTTTCCTTGACTGAAAACCTAGTTTTATGGTATTGTAGGAGATAGTACATGTAGCAGTTGCTTTATCTAGGCTAGAAAGTAGAAAGACATGGTGGTTTAGAAACTTTGAAAAATTATTTTGAGAAGTGATGTATTCATAAAACATTTTTTCAAAGACAGGAAATGTTGAGATTTAAGTAGCATTGAAATTTAATACTTTGATATGTTGATAATGTTTCTGTGAGGAATACTTACGTTTTTGTCATATTTTAGTTGAGAGAAATAAAAATTTCCTTTTCCTGAAAATTATATTTTAGCTCTCTGAGTCCATGAAAATTGGCCATCATATGAAAATATGATGGTACTTGTGCAATTGTGGCACACTTTCATATCCCAATATTGAAGCATTGCAGCATGGCATATGTGCCCAAGCACAGCCCTTAAAATATCATAATAGCTAAAAGCAAAACTTCGAATCTAGGCTACCTGGATTCAGATCTGGCTTCACCACTTAAAAGCTTTATGATGTTGAGCAAGTCTCTAGGACTCCATTTTTCATCTGTAAAATAGGAATAATAATCTCATCAACTAAGGACTAAGTGAAATCATGCGTGTAACACTCTTGGCACATGGTAAGTACCCATTCATGTTAGCTATTATTACTTTCATTATTATATTACTAAAAAGTGTATATAGAATATTACTAAAATTGCATATATTTTCCTGGCTGTATCAAGATTCCTTTGGGTATAAGTGTGGGCATAAACTCGTAAAGAAACCAAGATATTTCATTTTCAAAAGTGATAATGTGCTGCCTCTAACCTCATTTGCCCTCTGAATTTGGTGAGGTTCCTAGGGTACTGTGGTAGATCAGATTCTTGTTTCCAATTAATTATTCCTTTCCTGTAAATAATTTGTACATGGATACCCTTTGCCATGTGACTTTGCAGTTCTCCCTACTAGAACTGTTGAAGGCTATTTTCTCACCCTACTAATGTTGGTCTTGGTTGTTATTCCGGCTGATGGAATGTTAAAGGGTGTAATATAAGCGGAGACCTCAAAAGTGTTTGCATCATGTAGCTTGCTCCTTTCTATTTCTGTCACTTGCCATGAGAAAAGCATGCCTGCAGAAAACCACAGGTTTCAGAATTATGGAGATTTGTGGAACACATCTGAATTCAGTCCAATACCTGATGTTTAGCCTAGCACAACTAAACTCTGCAATTAATTGAGAAAAGTAAATACTTGCTGTTACAAGATACTGGAATTTTTGCAGTTGTTTGCTGTATAGTTGTGTAGGAAAGACTTAACATAGGCAGCCTAAACTGCCATCCTTCAAAAGACCTATTTATTTGCAAGGTTGACCCTTGGCTTATTTCTGGGAACTTAGATTTTTGGGCAGTTACTATCATTAACTGATAAGAATAGCTAATTTTGTCCAAACTGTTTGTGCAAACAATATGGTTTATGCTGAATACCTACGTTCCTTCTGGGAGTCTGGGAGTTTGGTAAGTGCTAGGCAGAGGCTGCCTACATGACCATGGGTGCTGAGTCTCCAGTGAGCTTCCATGGTTGGCAACATTTCACACATGCTGTCACAACTAACTCCAGAGGGAATTAAGCACAGCCTGTGCAATTCCCCTGGGAGAGGACACTTGGAAGCTTGTTTGTGGTTTCTCTCGGACTTAGCCTGAAGTGCTTTTCATTTTGCTGGTTGCGCTTTGCATCCTTGCACTATAATAAGTTTTAACCATGAGTACGAATATAAATGTGGAGCCCTTTGAGTCCTTCTAGTGACTCGTCAGACCTGGGGCTGATTGTGTGGACCTCTCAAACATAGTTGAAT